TTTCTGTAGGAGAAAGAGGAAGCCACTGATTTGTCTGATTGCTTACAGCCTATGATTGGGACACTTAGGGAGTTGCATAAGTGGGTGTTTTCTTGTATGTGTAACTGCTTGTGTATTCCAAGCAGCTCTATAGCAAAATGGCTCTTTAAATTCATCTTCTTATTTCAGCCCCACCTGATGAGCCAGGATCTTCCTGAAGACTGGGACAGCCAGCCAGTCAAAGTTCTAGTTGGAAAGAACTTTGAAGATGTTGCTTTTGATGAAAATAAGAATGTCTTTGTAGAGTTCTGTAAGTATCTCTATACAGTGGTTTCCAAGTAACTCTCATGAAAGGGGTGCCAAGAAACTTGGAGGGCTGCTTGGGGGAGAAAGCCTTTTCTGTTGGAATCTGAGCTATTAAAGGAATGCATCAGTGGAAAAGATCTACTGTGTGAAGTAGGTTGTTTGGTGCTAGCTCTGTTTTTTTAACAGATGCTCCCTGGTGTGGTCACTGCAAACAGCTCGCTCCCATCTGGGACAAGCTTGGAGAGACCTATAAGGACCATGATAACATTGTCATTGCCAAGATGGATTCAACAGCCAATGAAGTAGAGGCAGTGAAAATCCACAGCTTCCCCACCCTCAAGTTCTTCCCTGCAGGCTCTGGCAGAAATGTAAGGCAGCAGCTCTCTCTACAGATCATATAAGAAGGGAGCACTGGAAGTCTTTAGCAGCCGGCTTTTGTTTTTCTATTTTGGAAAAAGGCTTGTGGGAGGGCTCTCTGCTTTGTAGGGATGGAACACACCAGAACAAGTCTGCAGGACATCTGAGACCCTTTGGGAGGGGCTGGGTCGTAGGAAAGAGTTGGGGGGAAGTGGGAGTGGGGGAAAAGAGGGAAGTACAGCAGAGGACAGTGTGCTCATCTGCAGGCTATTTTCTCCTCGCAGTGATCTCTGAAGTCTAGTGGCTGAGCTGTTTTCCTTCGTCTCATATGGGTGAAGGTGAATTTTTAAATTCCCTTTTGCTTGGCATGTTAACTGTTGCTCAGAAAGAGAATTCTCCTCTCCAGTGGTGTGGTTCTCTATGTGCCCATGACCATTATCTTGATGTTTTCTCCCATGTAGGTAATTGACTATAATGGGGAGCGGACACTAGAAGGCTTCAAAAAATTCCTGGACAGCGGAGGTCAGGATGGTGCTGCTGCTGATGACGTGAGTCCTGTGAACTAATGCAATGCTTTGGGCAGGGAGAGTGGGCTGAATCTGCTGCAGCTTGTGAATCCTAAACCCTAAATAAGATCCTGACTAGCTGTGTGGTAGGAAAGAGTATTGGTGGTGAATAAAAGTGTAGTTACATCATAGATGAACAGACATGCCATAGTTGATGTCCTGCTGCTTACTGGCCTGTAATGGACTCTTATTTAGAGCACTTGGTTTGGGTGTGGAATAAATGCCTCTTGAGAGGCATATACAAATGCATGGAAATGGCTGATGCTGCAGCCTCCGAATTCTGCACAGGCTGACTTTGTAATGCAAAGGGCTGGAATAGTTGGGGCTTGCTGCTCCTCTGAGGCTGCTTGCCCAGCACCTGGAACTTCAACAAGATGATGAAAGCTGCCATGCTGAATATTTAGATGGAAGTTCCTTTTCTGTCTGGAGAAGAGGTTGTTACAGATGCAGGTAGTGGCTTCATGGATTTCTGATCTTTATTTTTTTCCTCAAATTCAACTCTTGGAAGTCTTGGGATGGTTTCCTAACACAGTAGCTGAGGACACAGTAGATGAATCAGAGAAAGTGTTCTGTGCTTTAATTTTGGATCTGCTTAATGTTCTAGAAACTGACAGTTATCTTTGTATTCTACACAGGATCTAGAAGATCTGGAGACAGATGAAGAAACAGACCTTGAGGAAGGTGATGATGACGACGACCAGAAAATACAAAAAGATGAGTTGTAAAGAAAAGACTGATCTGCATCACCCAAAAATCAGACACTAAACTTGCTGCTGTTATGCAGCCCAGTGAGTCCAGAAACCCATTAAGATTTAAAGCAGAAGGCGAGTGACTGGAAATCCAGGGATTGGCTTTTAAAGTAACACTTCACCCTCACTTGTCTGTACACTTGACTGTCTTTTCTTACTTTTCAGCTTTGAGAAGGGATCTGTCACTAGGTAGCCATCCCAGCCAGCTGGGCTCATTTTTATTGTAATGTACTTTTTTTGTACATGGCTTTTGTTTCAAGTATTCTGTTCTTCTGGGTAGAAGCAGGTTGTGAAGTGGTAGCATGAGTTTAATTGCTCAGCGTTTTGGAGCCTTGCCACTAACATTTCCCATGAGAGCATTTTCCTTTTTTTTTCTTTTAAACCTAAAGACCATAGTGCTTTCCCACCACCCCTCATCCCCTACCTGGCAAGGTCTGTAGCTCTTCCATTGCAGTCAGCCTTCAGCGTGTGTAGGGGGAGAGGCATCAGGCTGACTGCATCATTCTGGTGAGAGATATGAAGATGCTTCTCTTCATGCTGACCAGATGTTTCCTTTTCCCTCTGCTTTAAGACACTTGGGGATGACTATCCCAAATACCTGGAAGGGTGGAATACTGTGCACTGGCTGTGACAGGCTCTGGAGGGTGGAGGTGGAGACTGGCCCACCAGCTTAGACAAGACCTGGCTCTGTTGCCACCCCTCTGATCAAACGTGAACCTGTTTTGCAATCACTTTCCATGCATTATTTTGAATGGGTTGACCAGGCTGGTGGGTGGCGTGGATGAGGCTGAATAAAATATGGCAAACAAGACACTTAAGATTACTGGGTTTTGGGGAGGAACTTGAACAGGGGAGTGGCTCGGGCCTGAGCAAAATCAGGCTGGTTCTTAGCATTCCGCTACAGTAACATTGGAGCTGAATTTGTTGGCCAAATAAAGTTGAGATTTTAATACTATTATATCTCTTTGCCTCTTTCAAAACAGAGCTAATACTGTTCAGACCTGATCTTAAAGTAGATCAGGCTTCTAGGATGATTCTCAGAATTGATGATGGAATTGATCAGCTTTTTCTGAGGCTTATGCTAAATACAACAGTTTTGAGAGCAAGTGGATCCACCCTTGTGCATGACTTTGTCATGCCTTCAGTATGAGTGCTTTCAGGCTCTATCTCCAGTCTCTAAATGAAAACCCACCTCCTATCCAGACTAAGTCTGTCAGTGCAGTCTCTCTGTGCAAGCTCTGATAGCAGCAAGGGGATGCCAGTCTGGGCTTTGAGAAGGAGCAGCTCTAGTTGCCAGCTGGCTTGGTGGATGGGACTCATTGCTCTGGAGCAGCTAACCAAGGAATTTGCATTCGGGGAAACCTGGGACTGTATGCACATGATCCAGTGAGCTATACTGCTATTTCCAAACTGGTCACTTGCTGTTGAAAATATTTGTGTAAGGAAATATGCTATAAATGTCACAGGGGGAGGGGATAGGGAACCTGGATGCCAGTTCAGAAGGCTACTGGCTCCTGTTGCATCATGAGCATGCGCTGGATCTGTAGAGGAGGTGGCTCCCTCACTGTTGGGCTGCACTCACAGCTCCTGCTCCATTGGGTGGAAATAGTCGGGGAAAATCCTGGCTTGGTGTGTGCAAACAGAGTGGGAGTAGTGGCCTGCACTGAACGGGACACCACTGAGCAGCGTTAACTTAGTAATCAATCCTGTTCCCTGGAGCTGGGAGCAGGGCCTGGGCCCTTGAGTCCTGCCTGGGCAGGAGCTGTGCTCTGTGCACAGCCCGGTTGGCAGTGCCGTATCATAACGGTCTGGGGCTGAGCACGGGTACCTGCCTCCCCCTAGGATAAGCTGCTTTCCTTTGGGAAGTGGGGAGGAGGGAGGACTTGTGGAGCCCAGGAAGGCTCCCTGCTAGGAGTCAACTCAAAAAGGATCCATCTCTGTGGAGACAGGTAAAGAACCATAACTGAAGCTAAGCTCAATAATAGTGATGTAGGCGATAGCCTAAGACCTGGTGTCCTCACCTCACAGAAGTGGGGGCTTTTCTCCCCTACAGGGCTGCTCTGGCAGAGCAGGGCTCTGTCCCTGAGTCACCCTCAGTGTGTGCAGCTACCCGTCCTTCCAAGAAAAGAGGCTCCTTCCGTGAGCGTTCAGCTCCCCCTTGCACGGTGTTCTCTGTGTCCGGCACGTTCTCTGTGTTTGCTGAGCAAAGGCACTCATGAAAAAGTGACACTATTTGCTGGATGAACTAACGCAGGGAGTGGTTCTGAGGTGCAGTGAGGTGCTCTGGTCCTGCCTGCGCGTGGCTGGGGACACCCATGGGTGGCTGGTGCTCTAGTCCCGCCGCCAGGCCGGCCCGCGCAGCTCATCCACTCCCTTTGTGGGCATCTGCTGCGAGCTGGAGTGACGGAGGTCTGAGTGTTCTTGGCGCCGCCGCTCGGACACGTTTGCGGTGCTCCGCTCATCCGTGCGGGGCGGGCGGCTCCCCTCGCGTGGTGCTAACGGGGCTGTGTCCTTCCCGCTTGGGCGGGAGCAGCCCGGATTCGCTGCTGGGCAGTCCCGTCCGCAGCCCCTCGGGCTCTGCAGGAGGGCTGCGCACAAGCAGCGGCAGCAGCTCTGACCCCTGGATGGGCACATCAACAGGTGGGTGGTAAGATGAGACACCAACTTGTGCCCGAAAGTGGGAGGCTGCGGCTCGATTACACAGTATCAGGGCAAACAGCATGAGCTGCAGGTCCTCAAAATAGCCCGCCGAGGCTATATAACGAGAAGGCCCTGCAGGAGCAGCAGTGCCGGGCAGCGGCTGCGCCGGCTGCGTGTGCCCAGCGCCAGCTCCCGTGCACGGACGGCCCCGGCGCGGGGCCCTGCTGTGTCCTGCCCGCCCCGGGACGGTGCCGTGGGCCCCAGCTAGGGCAGAGCCCCAAGGTGCACGTGGGGAGAGCCGCAAGTGCAGTGCCGAGCCCGGGCTGGTCCCGGTGGCTCTCGCAGCCTGGGCCCGGGCCCCTGCCCTGCCCCTTCCTGCCCGCTCCCCAAGGCTGCTCCCAGCATGAAGGACTATTTCCCGGGCCCCATGCCGCGCTACGCCAGGAGGTGGAGAGCCGCGCGCACCGTACACTTTCCCAACGACGTCGTCTTTCAGGACCACATCAAGCAGGGGGACCTGGAGCAGGTGGGCAGGTTCATCCGCACCAGGAAGGTGGCTTTGGACACCATCTACCCCTCCGGTGAGTGCTCTGGAGCCTGGCCGGGCAGTGAGGGGACGACGGGGACGTTGAGGCCGTGGTGCCCTGTGAGGCTGCAGGCCCAGAGCTGGTCGCCCTCCTGCCCCACGAGGCCGCTGCGGCCCCGGCACCTCCCCGGCAGCGCAGGCCGTGGCACTGGGAGCCTTGGGAGGCGGCAGCGAGGCGGGACCCGCGGGGCCATGGGCAGCAACAGGAGAATGTGGGCTGCTGCTGTGGGCAGCACAGGGACATGTCCCTGCTGGGCCCCGGGGGCAGCGGGGAAGCACTGAGCTCGGGGCTTGCTGCCATTGCTCATCGCAGCGCGCTCACACCGGCGGCGCTCTGGCCTGCCTGGGGTCTGCCTGCGTCCCCACTGTCCATGTCCCCGTCCCGCACATGGCCCCGGCTCCACCACTGCAAGGACAGTGCCCTGGCCTCAGGCGGCCCTGGGCTGCGGCGGCGGCTTTGCTCCCGGTGCCATGCAGAGCTCTCGGAGCCCGGGCCAAGCGGACCTGCCCTGGAGGCCTGTGGGGCCGGGCGCCCTCCGTGGGTTCTGCCTGGGCAGCGGGGTCGGTGGGCGGCCCGTCCGTGGGATCTGCGTCCTGCGGGAAGCCCCTTGCTCACGTCCCCGCGCCCAGGCATGGCGGCGCTGCATGAGGCCGTGCTCACCGGCAACCTGGACTGCGTCAAGCTGCTCGTCAAGTACGGAGCCAACATCCACCAGCGGGACGAGAACGGCTGGACGCCGCTGCACATGGCCTGCAGCGACGGCTACGCCGACATCGCCAGGTAGGGCCGGCCGAGGGGCCGCCGCGCAGCGCCCGGCGGACGGCTCCGCGCGCCGCCCTCACCGCCCGTCCCCGCAGGTACCTCATGGAGCTGGGCGCCAGCCCCGAGGCCACCAACGACGCCGGCGAGAAGCCCGCCGACCTGGTGGACCCCGACTACAAGGAGCTGGTGGAGCTCTTCGAGGCCGCCACCATGGACTGAGGCGCGGGGCGCGCGGGGCCGCGGGGCGGCGGCGCCCGGGCGGGACCCGGGCCGCGGCGGGGCCGCAGCGGGAGCCACTTTGTACTTTTCCAATAAACACCTCGGACTCGGCCTGCGCCGCCGCTGCGCCGGCCGGGCGGAACCGGGCCGGGGGAACCGGGCGGGGCGGGAGGAGGAGAACGGGGCGTGGCCAATGGCAATCGCGGGCGGGGCCGCCGTGGGTGTGGCCAAGGCGCAGCAGGGGGCGTGGCGGGCGCTGCCGGAGTCGGACGGGGTGGGGCTCGCGCGGAGGGGCGTGACCAGATCCGGCGTGGGGGCGTGGCCAGCGCCCCGGCGCGTGGAGGGGGCGGGGCGTGTCGGCGCCTGCGCGCGCGGCGCTTCCGTCGCGGCCTGCGGCGAGCGGAGGCCGGAGCCGGGGCCCAGGTGAGGGGCGCGCGTTGCCATGGCGACGGTCCGGGGGCGGCCCGCGGCCTAGCCCGGCCTCCCCGCTCCCTCTTGTCCCTTGCAGCCGCCGCCGCACGGACGACGCCACCATGGCCAGGTGAGACCCGCGCGCCGGGACCGGCCCCGGCCCCGGCCCCGCAGCATCCCCGCCGCGGAGCCCGCCGGCTTCAGCGCCGCGCTCCCCCCCGCAGCTCCCCCGTGTCCCGCGTGGTCTACAACGGCAAGCGCAGCGGCGGCCCGCGCTCCCCCGGCAGCGGCAGCGAGATCTTCACGCCGGCGCACGAGGAGAACGTGCGCTTCATCTACGAGGGTGAGCGGGGGCGGCGGGGCGGCCCCGCGCCGCGCCGCGCCGCGCCGGGCCGGGCCGGGCCGCCCCTCACCGCGCCCCGCAGCCTGGCAGTGCGTGGAGCGCGACCTGCGCGGCCAGATGGGCTCGGAGCGCGGCCTGGTGGAGGAGTACGTGGAGAAGATGCCCAACCCCAGCCTCAAAGGTGAGCGCGCCCCGGCCCTGCCTCCTCCCGCCCTGCCCCGCTCCAGCTCTCTCCCCTGCCCCGCAGCGTTTAAACCCGTCGACTTGGGCGATCTGAAGAGGAGGAGCACACAGGATGCCAAGAAGTCCTAAGGCAGGTCGTCCCTGTGGATTCGACTGGTCTCCTAAGGTCCTCGAGCAGATTTGAGATTTTTTTGTGTGTTTTTGTTTTTTTGTGTGTGTGTGTGGTTTTTTTTTCCTCCTCTGTTCTGTCCTCTGCCCTGGGAAAGCTGATCAGCTTTGGGGCTGGCTCTGAAGCTGCCTGAATTCAAAGATGTGGGGGGCTCCCTGAGGGTTCCCGGAGCCCCCTGTAGCAGATCCCTGTCCCTTTCCCGTAGCTTTCTGTGGCCTCGAGCTGTCCCTCCCCGTTTGGCGCCAGGCTCGCAGCTCCCTCGCTCTCCGTGCGCCTCCATCCCCGGTGCTCGGGCTTGCCGGGGCCCGGCAGGGCAGAGCGGGGACTGTGCTAGGTCTCTGCTCCCTTCTGGGCGCCCAGGGCCCGCCGAGGCTGGAGCTGGTGAAGGAGAGCGGGTTCCTTCCCGTGCCTTGCACAGAAAGGCAGCCCAGGTGCAATAGCAGCTCGCGGGGCGGCCCTGCTTGCGAGTGACACTGTGCCTGTTCTCTGCTCCCCTGTGGGCGGCCTTAGCTGGCACCTGGGTGGGCAGTGCTGGGCATGAGGCGGTGCTGACAAAGCTCCTGGTTCTGTAGCGGAGGCCACGTTTTCCTTGTGCTTGCACCGGGCAGATCCCCGAGGTGCTGGAGCTGCTCCTCTCCCTGCGGATGGAGAGACGTGTGTCAGCACTGGCCCCAACCCCGGGCATCCGATCCCTGCTCCGGTGGGCCCGGGGCTGGTGTTGCCCCCAGACCTGGGCACTCCAGCCGCCCCATGGGGGTGGCAGGGGGTTGGTCAGTGCTGACTCTCCTAGTGAAAGAAGCTGCTTGCACCTTGGCCCGAGCAGCTCCCTGCTGCTCCAGTACTAACGGCTTTTCCCAAGCACACCCTCCTCCTGCCCCTCGAGCACCTGGAGAGGAGGAGGGCGAGGAGGGACGATGCCCTCGGGACACCCGGCGGCAGAGGCGTCGCTGCCTGGAGCCGGCGCTGACCCCACTTGCCTTGGGCCCGGCTGCACTGGAGCGTCGCTGCAGGCCGGGCTCGGGGCTGCGAACGGGGCGGGTGGCGGCACTGGCACCGGCCTCGTGCCCATGCAAGCGACCTGGCCACAGGGATCCGGGGAGCCGTTAGCACCGGCGGGACACGAGGCTGCGGCCCCGGCGCACGCGGGGCGGCTCGGGGTGCGCGGGAGCTGCGGCTGCGCCACCCTCCCTTGGTCAAGTCATTGACCTCTCACTGTTTCTCTTTTCTGTTGTCTGTCCCCTGCAGAGTGTTGTAAATAAAAGCTGGTGTCCTTTTGAGCTGGCCGTGCTGTGACTGCGCCTGATGCAGCCTGCACCTCGCTGCGGGTTGTGCCTCGCTGCAGGCTGCACCTGCTGTAGGCTGCACTTCGCTGCAGGCCCTGCCTCGCTGCAGGCCGTGCACCGGCTGCAGCCTGTGTCTCGCTGCGGCCCACACGCCAGCCGGTCAGTCAGGCCTGCAGGCACCACTTCTGCTCCGCACCTCCCTCCTTACCCTTCCCAGAGGTTCAGATTTTCCTATTTTGTTGTTTAAATCCCCTGCTTTCTATTTTAAACTCCAGCACTGGAAAAAAAAGAGTGTTTTGATTACCGTTCCAAGCCAGATCTCAAGACACCATGTGGAGATCAAAGGCCACCTCTTTTTATTTATTTTTTTTTCCAGGGGGGATCTTGTCCTTACACTTGCTCCCGGCCTTAATTTCCCCGCAGGCACGGGGCCTGGCACCGGGTGCTGGTAGCACAATGCCCTTGGCCGCCGGCCGGCCCGCTGCGAGCCACATCCCGGGAGCTCCTGCTGCACCAAAGATTTAAATGTTGAGACTATTAATACACTCGTATCCTTTTCCCTTCCCTGCTTTAATGGCATTTAAACTATACTTAGCATTGGCAGAATTTCTCCTCAAGTGCCTCTCTCTGCACTTCGCCGTGACCCTGTTGGTCAGGGTGCCGTGCGGGGGACACGTGCAGGACGAACACGGCCCTGGTGCCGCCTGCCTCCCTCGGCGCAGCTGCGGCCCCTCTGCTGGTGCCAGCCACGGGAAGCGCGGGGAAAGGGGAATGATGTGAGCGGCCATGGGGATCACGAGGACAGCGGGACTGACGTGAGTGTCCACGAGTGGCCGCTGGGGGCTCTTCCTGCACCAAGGGCCTTGGTCCCTGGTGGCACCAGGGCTCGCGGGTGGTTTGGAGCTGGACGGTGTCTTGGCGGTCTCGCTGTGCGCAGAGCTGCTGGGCACGGGGCAGCCGCTGGGCACGGGGCAGCCGTGGATCTGTGCCCGCCTGGCCCCGCCACCGGGTCCCGCAGAGCCGGGAGCTGCCCCGTCCCGCCACCGCCGTCCTGCAGGGCCGCATGGCGCCGCACACGTGCATGTGCACACGGGCACACGCAGGCATGTGCTCACACACGGGCACACACATGCACACGCATGCACATGTGCCACTGCCTCCATCCCGAGGCCTCATTGGAGCCGGTCCCGGTGCCGCCGCGGCCAGCTGCAGGCCGGGAGCACCCGCCGTCACCCGCGCCACCCTCCTGTTTTCACCATGGTTCGGCTGCTGCAAAGCTGGGGGCAATCGGTAACATAGGTCCTAATAAAAGAGCATACAAAAATCATTCTATAAATCTGAGACTTTTATAAAGACTAATAAACAACCACAGGGGTCAATGCAATGAAAAAGCAGAAAAGAAGTGTGAAATCCATGTGGCAGCGGGGGTGAAGCCCGAGGCCACAGAAATCAGACTGTTTACCTATAAAAAAGCAAACTTAGCAGTGTTTTATTTTCACTCTGCCTGGGATATGGTTTTTATCATTAGATTAAGTTGTAGGAGGAAGAGAGGTATGTGTTGTATCATTGAATTAAGTGGTGGGAAGAGAGAACAGTAACAGGCAGAATCCACTTAGGCGACCAATTTGCAGCCGCGATTCCCGTGATAAAGCGGGCGCAGGGCTGCAGGACGGCGGCTCCGCCGCGTCCCCCGGCAGCCCGCAGCTCTCCACAGCGGCCACTTCTTCCACACTCCCCAACGCCACTTCCAGCCCTGTTGTAACTAGTGCTGGCTACGGCAAACGTGGCTGGAGGCAGAGGCGGGTTGTGCGGAGGCCGTTTCTCCGTGCGGTGCGGGTGTCCTCGCGCGGGGCCGACGCTCGGGGCCGTGTCCCGCTGTCGACAGCGCGGATCAGCGTGCGGGCAAGGCCCAGCCCCGGTCAGCCCGGCCGGCGGCCCGTGGGGCGCGGAGCTGGGCAGCCGCCCCGGGGATCCCATCCCGGCTCTGGCTCCTCTGCTTTCCGGGGCTTGGCAGCCTGGCACGAAATGTCCCCGTCGTTCCGGTTGCCATGGGAACCCGCGGGCGATGCAGGCCTAATCACAGCCCCTTTGTTCTGCGAATAAATGTTAATGGCCGCGCGGGTCCCTTTGTGGTCAGGGAGGCAGCAGTGGCGGCTGCTCCGCGTGGGCGAGCGCCGTGGGCGAGCGCCGGCGCTGCCGTGTGCCCCGGCCGCCTGCAGCCCCGCTCGGTGCCCTCATGGCTCCAGCCACCAGCACCCACACGGCTGCCACCAGGGCTGGGACAGCCAGGGTGACGGCTCAGGAACCCCCTTCATCCCGGCTCGGATATCCCCATCATCCCGGCTCTGGTATTGCCATCATCCTGGCTCAGGTATCCCCATTATCCCCGCTTTAGTACCCCTATCATCCTAGCTCGGTTATCCCCATTATCCTGACCCAGCTATCGCCATTATCCCAGCTTGGGTATTCCCATGATCCCGGCTCATTTATCCCCATTATCCCGGCCCAGCTGCTCCCATCATTTTGGCTCCAGCAGAGCCAGACCATGTTCCCAGGTCATGGTGATGGATGCCCTGTCGGGTCCAGCTTGGTGGCCCTGCCGCAGCCCGGGTCCGGGCAGGGCTGCACTGTGGGGACGGGGCTGTGGGGCTGGGGCAGTGGGTCTCGCTATGGGGCAGGGGCTTTGCTGTGGGGCACGGTGCTGGACACATGGGCTGGACCTGGTCTGGGTCTAGCTGGTGGCCCCTTCCTGGCAGCCACTGTGATGTATCTAGAAGTATATATAAATATTTACAAAAAGAATATGTCTGTGTGTCTGTGTGAGCGTATGTATACATATATATAAAAATATGTGTATATAAACATTGTGTTTGTGTGTATACACACATATATTTATATGTGGGGATGCAGAGAGAAAAAAAAAAAAACAACCATGTCTGTGTATCCATCTCTGTGTGTGAGAGACTATATACACATAAATTCGTGTATGTGTCTCCCTGGGTCTGCGTCTCCATGTGTGCACATGTGTTTATATACATATATATTTATGTGTGCGTGTATATTTATATGTATGCACACACAAGCATGTAAAAATACACACGCTACATATTTTATAGAGGGGTGTGTGCATGCACATGTATGTTTGTGTATATATATATATATATATAAAATATATGGATATGTATATACATATCTGTACATTTCCTTATGTGCCCATCCCCATGTCCACCTGTATGAAAATATACACCTACATGTGTGTATACGCCTGTAAATGTGTGCATACACACATGTGCCTGCACGTCCGTGTGTATGACCCCTGTGTGCTCACACGCCTGTGCCCCGTGCTCGCGCCGCGTGCACCGTGTGCGCCGGGCCGTGCGGTGGCGCACGGTGGCGCTGCCCGGTCCTGCGCAGCCCCCGCGCCGCGTTCGGGCTCCTCCCGCACCGAGCGGTGCTGCCGCCTGCGCGGGGACCCGCGTGTCCCCTCCCCGTGGCCCCGTCCCATGTCCCCAGGGCCTGGCATCCCCTCTGCCCCCCTCCTCCCCCTCAATCCCTTTGTCCCGCCCCGTCCCTGCGCTCCCCATCCCTGCATCCCCCCACCCCACCCCGGAGTCCTGCTGACCCCTTGACTACCCCCGCCTCCCCCGAAGGGCACCGCGGTCCCGCCGTGTTCCCGCCATGTTCCCGTTGTGTTCCCATCGCTGCCCGTCGCTGTCGCGGCCCTGGCGCCGCAGGGCCCTCGGCTGGAGCAGCCGGCGCCAGGGGACATAAACAGGAGCCTGGGTCCCTGCCCTCACTGCCCCCGCGTCCCCTGGCACCAGAGACGCCGCTGTCCCCGCTGCCAGCAAGGACAGTCACAGTCCCCATGCATACGGTGTGCGCAGGGCTATAGGGTCCTCCATGGGGCTATAGCGTGCACTGTGGGGTTATGGGGTGCACTATGGGGCTATAGGATCTGCCATGGGGCTATAGGGTACTCCATGGGGCTATAGGGTGTGCTGTGGAGTTGTCCCTTGTGGGACAAGCCACGTCAGCCCAGCTGCCCCCAACCCCGTCCCTTGGAGGCTGCCCATGTCCAAGCGAGATGCACACGGAGCCGCCCTGCAGCCCAGCCCAGGTCTGCACCTATTTACACATCACGACATAAATTACACCCGGCCCGGCCCCCTGCCCAGGTGTCCCTCAGCCCAGGCACCGTCACCAGCCCCTGCACATCTGTCGTGCCGCAGGGCTGTCACCCGGGCACGAGCATCATCCCATGCACGTGCATCGTCCTGCACGGCCATCGCCCCACGCAGGTCCATCGTCCTGTGCAGGTGCCTTGTTCTGTGCATGTCCATTGTTCTGTGCATGTCCATTGTCCCATGCACGCCCATTGTCCCGTGCATGTCTGTTGTCCTGTGCATGTCTCTTGTCCCATGCACGCCCGTTGTCCAATGTATGTCCATTGTCCCATGCACGCCCATGGTCCCATGCATGTCTGTTATCCCAAGCACATCCATTGCTCTGTGCACATCCATCGTCCTGCACCGCACAGCGCCCCGTCCTTGCCGCACCCTGTGGGGACGGAGGCGGCAGGCGTGGGGCGGTGCGGCTCAGAAGTTGCTCTCGGCCGTGCTCTCGGGGAACTCGTAGCAGTGGTGCCGGCCGCCTGGTGCCAGGTGCTCGGCGGCGCCGCGGCCAGGCCGCTCGAGGCAGCGGGGCCCGGGGCGCGCGGGGACCGGGCTGCGCCCCAGCCCGTTGCTGCAGCCGCCCACCAGCTGGTGCTTCTCGCCGCCGTGGCCGTTGCGGGCGCCGGGCGCGTGGCTGCAGTTCTGCTTGTGCTCCCCAGCCAGGTCCTGCCCCAGCTTCCAGCGCTGCCAGCGCTTCAGCAGCTCCGCCTGCACCTGCGCGCGGCCGTCGTGGCACCGGGGGGTGCCCCACGGCCGCTCCCACGCAGCCCCCCGCAGGCAGCCCCCGCGGCAGTCCCGCGGCAGCCCCGCACACTCACCTCCTTGTTGACGAAGCAGTAGAGCACGGCCACCAACATGCCCTGCGGAGCGTGGAGCGTGAGGCCGCGGACAGCCCCGGCTGCCCGGCCCGGGCGCAGGGCCCCGCTCACCTGGAAGGAGCTGAGGAAGAGGTCGAAGAAGAGCTTAACGTAGCGCAGGGTGCCCTGGGCGTGCTCGTCGGTGACGAAGGCGAACACCACCTCGTGGATGCCCAGCAGCGGGATCAGCGTCAGCGTGGACTTGGCCAGCCTGCTGGGAGAGGGGCCGCCGCTGGGCCGGGGCTGCCGGCACGGGCAGCTGTGCGCCCTGTGTGCCCCGTGCCCACCGTGCTGCATGCACATCCCGGCACCGTGCACAGCCACGCACCAGGCACACGTGTGTGCCATGTGCATCCCAGCACCGTGCACAGCCACGCACCATGCACACGTGTGTGCCATGTGCATCCCGGCACCTTGCACAGCCATGTGCCATGCACAGCCTTGCACCATGCACACGCATGCACCATGCACATGCACCCCAGCCCATGCACACCCTTGCACCTGCCCCACTCCCATCCCGCACCGGAACTTGTAGTCCGTGTAGCGCATCTGGTGCGCCCGGAGCTTGGAGACGAGGATCTGGATGATGCGGATGAAGATGAAGAAGTTGATCTGGAAGGGAGGCAGGCAGTGAGGGCTGCAGCAGCGGCAGCACCGGCCCGGAGCCGCGGCACTCACCAGGATGGCCAGGAACACGGGGAAGCGCAGGATCCACCAGAAGCCCATGTTGTTGTTGGTGCTCCAGCACCTGCGGGGCAGAGCGCGGGCAGGGACCGGGCTGGTGGGCAGGGGCCATGGTGCCCAACGGGGCCTGGTCAGGGGGCAGCCCCCTGCTCCATGCCCCCCCCCCCGGCCCCCGCCCCACTCACTGGATGTTCTCGTAGAGGAACTTGACGACGACCCAGGGCACGAGGAAGAGCAGGGGGGCGCCTGGGGGGCAGTGGCGTCAGGAGCCGGTGGCCCCCACGCCGCCCACGCCCCGGTGCCCGGGCGCCCCACTCACCCCAGCCAATGCACAGGTAGAGCGTGAAGTAGCTGCGCTCTGAGAAGACAGCCACCACGAGCAGGTTGTGCAGGTAGATGCCCTCCACCAGCAGCCAGCAGTAGTTGGCCACGATGCCGTACTGCATGAAGACAGTGGCGGCGCGGCAGCCGGCGGCGGCCTGTGGGGATGGCGTGAGGCTCCGTGCACCCCGGCCCTGTGCCCGTCCCCATCCCCGTCCCCGTCCCCCTGAGCGCACCTCATCGCTCAGCCAGACACCCACGTTGTAGTCGTCCACCTTGTCGCTGTAGTGGGTCTTGAGCAGGGCGTCGATGACCAGCACGGAGATGCCCTTCAGCATGAAGGAGGCGAAGAGGTTCATGTGGATGTAGTTCCTCATGCAGTGCAGCTTGCTGCAGGCAGGGAGCACATCAGCACCTGCCGCAGCGGCACCCTCGGCCCCTCTGTCCCTCCCGGCACCCTCCTGCCTGTCCCGTCCATCCCACCACCCCATCCTACCACCCTGCCCAGCCCGTCCGGTCCATCTGCCCCATCCTTTCCGCCCATCCTGCCCAGTCCCGCTGATCCATCCTGTCCATCTCATCCCACTCTTCCCATTCTCTGCCCCCTTGTCTGCCTGTCTTGCCCATCCCACCCTGTGCTCTCCATGCTGCCCAGATCCATGTACCCCATCCCGTGTTCCATCTACCCCTCCTGCCCAGGCCCATCCCCTCTCCTCCGAGCCCTCCCGCCCACCAGGTCCGCGTGTCCCCGGCGGCCGCACCTGAAGCCGAGCAGCACGGCCAGGGCGAGCAGCAGGGCGCACAGCGACACCGAGTAGCCCACCGTGTACATGACCTTGAAGCTGCCGTAGGTGCGGGCGAAGCGCTCCTGCAGCGGAGCGGGCGTGAGGGGCGCGAGGTGGCGGGGGCCGCGCGGGCCGCACCGGGCTCACCTGCGCTGCCAGGTCCTCGGCGTCGATCTGGCACTGCGTGGCGTCGCGCAGGGACTGCCCGCCGGGGCCCGTCACCCACTGCCCGTCCGGCCCGCACCGCTTGAACACGTGTCTGTGCTTCACTGTGGGCGCAGCATGGTCCCGGACATGGGTCAGCGCCGGAGGGGTCCCGAGCAGCACACACACCCCCGTGCACACGCTTGTGAACATGCATGTGCATGCACACATGCAAACATGCTCCATCAGGCACATGAGCTCACCCACTCGTGCATGTGCACTCCCCTCTGCACACACAGGCACGGACCCGCATCCCGCCCTCACCTTTGTGGTACCAGGGCAGGAACCAGGGGCAGGAGACGTTGACGGTGCTGTTGGGCAGCGCGTCAGGCCAGCAGGAGAACTTGTCGAATGTGCGGTTGCAGACGAGCTCTGCGGGGCAGCGGGGTGTTGGCGGGCGCCGCGGTGCACGGTGCGGCGGCGCGCGGCCACGCTCACCTGTGGGCGCGGGCAGGCGGCTCATGTTGCGCTGGCACTCCTCGCTGTACGCCTTCCAGCTCTCAAAGAGGAAATCTGTGATCTGCGCAGAGCTGCCCTGCAGGCGCCACGGGTGTCCCCCCACGTGTGTGCGTGGGGACGGGGCGCAGGGCACTGCGCCATGCACCGCGGCACGGGGCGCCGCTGAGCAGAGGGCAGCGGGTCCGGGGCACCCGCCTTACCTGGCAGCGCAGCAGCAGCAGCAGCAGCAGCAAGAGGCTGGTCGGGGACATCCCTGCGTGGGGCCGTGGCCCGCATGGGGAGCAGCAGGAACCCGGGCGTCCTAGGGGCGCGGGGCGGCTGCTGCGCCCCGGCTGCAGCGGGCGGGTGGCCCTGCGCGAGAGGCGGCTGCTGGCCGGGGGCGCGGGGGGGGCTTCCCGTGGCCGCCCCGTGCAAACCCGCTCACGCGCAGCCTAATTCCCTGCATCCTGCCCTAAGCCGGTTACGGCTCCTGAGGGAGATTTTGGCTCTACTGACAAGGGGCCATTCTCCGGGTGCCCCCCGGCACAGCACGTCCTGGCCCCCCCGCTGCGCACCAAGGGCTCCCCGCGCCGCCCCGCGACTATTTTTATCCCTGGGAAAGTCTCCATGCTCGGAGCGCGCGCCATGCGCCAGTGCCAAGCAGGAGGCTCATTAATCAGCGCCGGCTGCGCCGCCGCGGCTGCGCTGGGGACGCGGGGTCCCGCACACAGGGCTGCTCCGGGGAGCAGCCTCGCTGGGGGCTCCTGCTCCCGCAGGCGCCCGCACAGCGCTGCCTGTGCCGGCATCTCCGCTTGCACAGCCCCACGTGGGCATCCTGCCCCCGGCACCACGCCAGCCCCACACCGGCATACCCAGGCATACCCCCAGTGGCAGCAGCGCTGGGAGCCCCCCTCACTGCCCTGAGCACCCCACATGTGCAGGGGGTCTTCATTGGTGCATCCGCGTGCTGCTGGGAGCCCCCCTCGCTGCCCTGCGCTCCCCACACGTGCCGAGGGGCTGCATTGGAGCGGCCGCGTGCCGGTCGCCAGCCCCCCGGCCGCTCTGGGGCAGAGGTGCTGCTATTTTTAGCTGTCTGTGATGGGATTTGGCTGCGGGGAGGCCTCTGCCCTAGACGCCCCCCAGCTGGCAGAGACCGCGGCCAAGCTGGGCAGACTGCACTGGGTGAGGGGTGTTGGCGCCGTGCGTGCTCCCCCGGGACCACTGGGCCTTTGCCCCAGCGCAGGGCCGAGAGCTCCCGCAGCCGCACGGGTGAATCTGTGTGCCCGACTGCCGCCCGCTCTGCCTGGGGTCCACCCCCACCCACAGCGGGATGGCTGGCGGCACCACAGCACGGCCAGGATCCGCATCCCCAGCCGCAGCATCCTGCACGTGTGCGGGGCAGGAGCTGGGGGGGGTCTCTTCCCTACGTGGGCAGTGGGTGACAAACAGGTCCTCACAGCCCTGCTGACCCCGCACTGGCTCTGGCCACCCGATCTGTCCCCAGCTCCCATCACATGTGCCAGGCACCAGGCTGCACAGCTGGGACTGTGGCAGCTCACGGATCAGCAGCTCCGAGGAGCCTCCGCAGGGACCCTGGTGGGCAGCTGCACTGCGGCCTCACGGAAGCGGCGCATGCGGAGTGGAGCAGCCCCTGCCTCGCAGCCCCATGGGGAGGCTGTGGGCACGGGGGCATCGGTTGGGGCTGATGCAGCGTGGAGCAGCCCGGTGCTGAGCCCCAGGGCAGGCGTCAGCACTGTTCACTGTTGGCTGTGTGGGGGGTGGCAGACACTGGCACTGGTGCAACACCAGCTCCGTGTGCCACCAGGCCGCAGCTGCTGCAAACAGCTGGAAGCAGCAAGCGGCAGCTCGTGAGGCACCGATGCCACCAGGCTCTGGCCGCGCTGGACTGGGGGTCATTCCGGCCCGGTAAAACCTGGAGCAGCTGGGACACAGATCTGCTCGCCTGTCGTGTGCAGGAGCCGGATGCGACACCCTGCAGTGCAGGAGCTAAGCACGCTGCAGACCCGGGGGGGACACGTGTGCTCGGATGCCAGCGGGGCGGCACAGGGCCAGGGACCTCAGAAAGGTCGCGCCGGGAGGCCGGCGGGCGCATGCGCCTTGCGGGAACGCGGAGCTCGCGGTACCGCGGCCGAGCTCCAAGCCCTGCTGTGCCATGGCTGCCGACAAGCTCCGGGAACCCCGGCTGGCATAGGGTGGCCCCGGCTGTGTAGGGCAGGACACGGTGGGCACATGGAGCACTGGCACCATCCCCTCTCCTGCCCCTGGCCAGGCCGGACCTTGCGTCTGTGGCTGCGAGCAGGGCTGGATGCAAAGCGGGGCTGTGCACAGCCACTGCTCTCAGCCCTGCGCTGTGGCTCAGGGCTGGCGGTCACATTTTTCATTAACTATTTTTAATCCCTATTTTGCCTCTTCTCCACTCAGCCTTTCCCTTCCTCTCTCCAGGCAACAGGACGTGGGAGCTCAGCAGCGCAGGCAGCAGGGCCGCCGGGAGCGGAGGCGCAGCCGGGGCGGCACTAACGTGACGAGTGGGGCTCCCCCGTCTCGGGCTCATGCACACGGAAAGACAAAGACCCATAGGGGCGAGCACGCAGCTGGGCATAGGGTGCTGGCCCCAAGTGCAGCCTGGGGACGGGCAGGAGCGCAGAGCAGGGTGCCCGGCCTGGAGGAAGGCAGCAGTGTGGTGCCTATTGCAGCCTAGTGCCCATTGCAGCGTGGTGCCCACTGCAGCCTGGGGCCAGGCAGGAGCTCAATGCAGGGTGCCCAGCACGGGGTGGCCACTAACACCCGTCCTCTGCCGGAGCAGCTGCCGGGGCCGGAGGGAGCTGTGTGCGAAGCGCAATGTGGCAGCCACCGCATTCCCAGCAGCTGCCCGGGGCACCCAGCCGGGCGCGCAGGGCCGGTGGTGGCCGTGGTGCCTCGCAGCCGCGCTGTGCGATGGGGTCAATACCCAGCGCGCCCTGGTTAAACAGAGCCGTTTACCAAGCCGTGTTGACACAGCGGAGCCGGGACAGTCACAAAGGGCACTGGCGGCGGCCCCGGCTGGGAGGGCTGCGAAAGGCCCCGCGCCCCCCGTGGCAACAGCCCCGACGGGGCCGCCGGGCTGGAGCCCCCTCAGTGCCGCCCGCCCTGGCCGTGGCAGTGGCCACCGCTGCCCTCGAGCTCCGACACCGGAGCCCTGCCCAGAGGCGGCGGCGGCGCCGGGGGGCGCGGGACGAGCCGGTGGCGGCCGCCCCGGGCAGGGCGCGGGGCCGGGCGGGGAGCCCCGCGCCGGGGCACCGAGCGGCACCGCGGTCCCTGCCGAGCCCCCCGGGGCTCCCGTTGCGGCCCCGGCGCTGCCTGGACCCCACTCGATCCCCCGGGACGAGGAGCCCTGGGACCGCAGGGACGGGCGCGATGTCTCCCCCCACCCCGGTACCTGTCGGCGCTGCGTTAGCGGCGGCTCCCGGGCGCATCTCGGTGCGGGCGGGCGCGGGCAGCAGCAACGGCACCGGCAGCACCGGCGGCAGCACCGGCAGCACCGGCGCGCCCGGCCGCTCCGGCGAAAACTTTTGGCGGAGCCGCAGCGGCGACGGCGGCTCGAGGGGAGGGACCGGCGCGGGGGGAGGGACCGCGGGCAGGAGCCGCTGCCCCGGCCCCGCTCCCGGCTCCGGCCCCGCTCACCGGCGCGGGGGGAGCCGCGGCCGCCGCCGTCCCGGTGCTCGGTGCCGCGCGCGGCGCCGCGCTCCCGTCGTCCCGTCCCACACATCGCAGCGGTCGCACCTGCAGGGCCGGGGCCCGGGCCCGGTGACCGGGACTGCCCTGATGCCGCCCGTGACGCCCGGTGCCCCGAGGTGGAGGGGGCGCTGGGTCCCGGAACCTCCTGGCTCCCGTGCGCTGTCCGGGCGGCTCCCGAACCCTTCCCAGTCACTGCCTGGGCTGCCCACGGGCCTGGACAGAGCTGGGCAGCGCAGCCGGTAAATCCTGCACCCCTCACTCCGGCCTCTGCCGGTGCTGGCAGCTCCGGATGCCACCCAGACCGGCTGCTGCGGCTCAGGTAAACCCATCCCGAGCACTGCAGTCGCCCTGCGCATCTCCTGGGCATCTCTGGGCTGGAATGTGGCCTGGGCACAGCCCACGGCCGGGAGGAGCAAGTGGCCCCTGCAGCCTGCGGGCACAAACATGTTTACCTTGGGCTGCGGAGGCTGCGCGGGCGGCAGGAGCCGGGGACACGGAGCATCCTCCCACCTGGAGCCTGGCCAGTCCCCGGCTTCGCCAACGCGCGTCCCCGAGCAGCCTCGCAGGTGCTGAGACCCACCTGGGCCTTGCAGAGCACAGGGACGGGGCTAGGGATAGGACCTCATGTCCCTGGGGCTGGGAGAACAAGGGGAAGCAGTGGCATTCCGCAGTGGCATTCCCTGGTGCCACTCAGGGTGGCACAGCAGGGTCCTTGATCTCCATGGGGCTCCAGCAGCCCCTGGGACAAGGGGATGGGGCTGCCTGACTCTGCAGCGTCTGGCACGTGCGGTGCCACCGGCCCAGCCCAGCCTGGCTGGGGTGTCCCCATCACGTGAGACTGCGGGCGGCACCGGCTCTCGTGGGGCTTGGCCCCACACTCCCCGAGAAGAGGGGCCGGGTCCAGCCGCGCTCACCTGCCTTGCAGCGCTCGCCCGGGCTGAGCACAGGAACAAAGCAGCGGTGCCAGCCAGCATCGTTAGACTTCGTTAAGGTGACGAGCTTTCACTTCCCCGCCTGGCGCCGTTCCACATGCTGCAGCCCAATTAGCAGCACAGCCAGGATGCCGCTCCAGCAAAGGGCAGAGGCGGCAGGCGCTGCCGGCATCACTCTGCCCAGGAATTCCTCGCGCGGCTGAGACCAGGCACAGCTCAGGGCAGGCCTCGGCCGGGAGCCCGCAGCTCCCCGCGCTGCAGGCCGGGGTGCAGGGCACGGCAGGGAGGGGGCTGCAGGGAATGTGGGTGTCCCGGTGGGGCAGAGCGGCCGGGCAGGTTGGAACTCGCTGCCACCCGCCGCTCCGGGCCGGGGGCTCCGCTCCAAGCCCTCCTGCTGTGCAGCCCCCCTCCATAGCCGCATGCCAGGCCCTGGGCTTGTTCCACTGTTGTTTATTATATATTAAGGTCACAGATATTCCAGTTTTTTGATCCCTCAGGGCCACAGCACACAGGGCTGCACGGGGCAGGGGGCTGTGCGCAGGGCAGCAGGCGAGGGGGCAGGAGGCACTGGGAGCCCTTTGGGGCTGGTGAGGTGGCAGAGGGGCACAGGGGGCTTCACCACGGCTGGGCTGAGGGCAGCGGAGCAGGGGATCTTGGTGCATGGGGATCCGAGATCATGGGAACCCCAGAACACATGGATCCTGGAGCACAGAGATCCTGCAGGACGGGGACCCCAAAGCAGCTGATCCCGGAGCACGCGGATCTTGGCTAACAGGGATCCGCAGGGCATGGCTCCCAGCGCACAGGGATCCGCAGCAGGTCCCAGGCTGGCAGCCAGGCTGGCTCAGCGCAGCCCAGCCCTGCTGGGCCCAGCTCTCCGTAGCAGGCGCAGACAAGGCTGGACCAGCCCTCCCTGCTCCCTGCAGCTGCCCAAGGCATTTGGAGCGCCCTTGGCGCGGCCTCAGCCAGGACACCCGGATCCTCTAGGAGCCGGCGCGAGGCGGGAGCTGAGGACAGCGGCTCAGCGGTGGCCCTTGCCCAGGCGAGGAAGCCCCAGCCCCGGGCAGCCCGGCCAAGCAGCCCCTCGCCCTTGGGTCCCCTCTGTCGTCATTGGTATGAGGCACAATCCCTGAAGAGCCCAGCGGCCGCGGCCGCTGGGGAGTTTTGGCCAAGCAAAAGTGGGAGTGCGGGGGCGAGGAAAGAGCAGCAGCAGGTGAGGGGGTCCCTGACACGTTGTGCCGAGAGGAGGGGGCAGCACTTTGGTGTCCTACATCTCTCTGACCCTGCTTAAGACAGGAGAGGCTGGAGCAGGAGCTCTGCGCATGCAGCCCACGCTGGGCATGGACACGAGTGGCGCAGCCCCCGGAGCAGCCCCCAGGTTCAGCGCCCAGGTGTGAGGCCGTCCTGCTCCGGGGGCTCGCACAGGACAGGAGAGAGGGCCCTTTGCGGCGCCAGCCTCTCCGAGCCTGCACAGGAGGGAGCTGCGGATGGACCTGCCGGCTATGGACCGAGAGCTGAAGGTGGCACAGAACCCGGGTGCAGAATGAACAAGGGGCCAAGGAGCCCAAAGGAAACTGGCACGAGATCCGGGGTGAGTGAGGAGAGGGATCCCGGCAGCATCCGGCTGCCGGCGCTGACAGCGTGGGAACAGGACGAAGGGCTGGGGCAGCCTGGCCCCGGGGAGCTCCAGGCTCTGCAGACCTGTGCGCTCACCCCGGAGGAGCCGTGGGGTGACGCAGGTCACGTCCCTCCCACTCAGGTGACGACTTTGATCCCAAAGTATTTGCGGAGCTGTTCCAGGAAGACAAAGGTGAGGACGGTGTGAGGAACGAGGCGGATGGCGGCAGGAACGAAGCCCTGGAAGAGGACAGGGAGAAGGGAGGCAGTGAGCGCGTGCCGGGGCCGGCGGCCCGGGCGGGGTGCAGCGGGAGCGCGCATGCGCGGGCAGGCTGGCGACATGCACGAGCTCCGGAGCGGCGCCCTCGGCGGCGGCAGAGCCTGCCGGAGTGGTGAGAGGCGCTGCAGCCACGCTGTGCACACGGGACCCAGCGTCATGCACCAACCCGGCCCCAAACACAGCGCTTTGCCATCACCACTCCGCAGAGTCTCGGGAGAAGCCAGTGTCAGGTCCCACAGCCCTGTTTCACAAGGGGGATGGAGGCTGCCTGGGGAAGATGAGCAGACAGGCTGTAACAGGGAAAGTCCTGACTAGCGGCATCAGGAAGAAACTTTGGATTTGAGATGCTATTCCAGGGCCCCTCCCAGCCGTGAGCCTGAGCACACCCGGGCAAATGGGGCTGACAGTGTCTGCAATAGCCAGTAAAGTCCAACAAAGGCTGGAGCTTCACTGAGAATACCTGCAATCCCCTTAGGAAACCCAGTGTTCTCCACCCAACTCCTAGCACCTCATCCTCTGCGTCTCGGTACCTTGTAGAAGGCCAGGGGTCCAAGCTTGGCAGTTTCCATGGCACAGTGAGAAACACCCTAGAATCGAAAGGATGGAGATGAGCAAGCGGCAGGAGGCAGGGGTAGCCCCGTGAAGAGGCAGGACGGCTGCTCACCCGGTACTCGCCCTGCGAGTTCATGAGACGGGTCTTGAGCACGTCCAAGGGCTGGCACAGGAACGTGGCGCATCCGCCCTGGGGACAGTCAACGGGAGGTCACCAGCCATGGAGGACACCTGGGTGCTGGCACCACCACGACCCACACGACGAGAGAGAGGGTCGGGTCCAGAGCCCAGCCTGAGAGCAACCCGTGCAGGGGCCTTTGCCCAGCCCTGCTGCCTCGGTGCGAGATGCAGTGACGATGCTGCACCTCCAGCAGCCCCACGCAGGGCCCTGAACCCGGCCGTGCTGCGCGCGCCCTCCTCCCAGCCCTGCTCACAGCGATGAAGCTGGCCAGGAAGTGAGTGAAGATGTTGTCTGACAGCAGCCCAGTGGTGAGAACCAGCTGCTTGGCCTGGTCATAGCAGGAGAGCTGCAGAGACACAGCGTGTTAGCGACACATCCCGCTCCCTTCCCAAGGTACCTAGTGCCCAGCGGAGCTGCCCTACCTGTCCAACGGTGACGAGGGCCCCTCGGCTGGATGCCATTGTAGCCCCCGAGAATAGCTTCTTCAGGCCCTCTGTGGACAGACAGGGATCAGCACAGTCCCGGGACGTCAATCCCGCTCCCCTGAAGCAAGGAGCCTCCATCCCTGCCCGGTGGAGGCCTCGGCTTCTTGGACAGCAGAGCTCCCAACGCACCCCAGCAGCAGCAGCGTGCGGGCGGGCAGGAGAGGAGAGCCCCTCAGGAAGGCCCTGTCCCCTGCTGCTGTCCCATCTCCCCGCCTCGCTCCGGGGCACCCCTGGCAGGGTTCCCAGCAGGAGCTCCCTTGTGTCCCTGGTGTCAGCGGGAGCAGGAGGGACAGGCGAGCCCTATCCTGCGCCGGCACAGCCTCACCTTCCCGGAGGACGCGGTACATGCCGTCCAGAGCATGGGAGTAGCTGGAAGGAGTGGGAAGGGGAAGGTGTCAGCTTCCCAGCGCTGCCTCCCCACGGCTGCCCCAGCCCCGCTGCCCTCCAGCGCTCCCAGTGCCCCCAGGCCGGGATCGGAGCGGCCCTCCCTGCGCGCCCCAGCCCTGCAGCTCCCGGCCCCACCACTCACTTGCGCCTCAGGTGCGCCGGCTGCTTCATGTCGTTCTGCATCCTGCAAGGCAGAGGCAGGCAGGTGAGGCGGGCAGGGCACCCAAGAGGCACCACGCGCTCCAGCCTGCCGCTGAATCCCTTGGGAGAGCAGGCATGGGGCTGCGAGCAGGAGCAGCCCTGGGGCCATCCCCTCGCCTGGGCCATTTGGCCACTGGCCCAGGCTGGGGAGAAGCGGGAGCCTGCAGGGCCGCCCCAGCATCCCGGCTGCTCCCAGGCCTCCCTCTCCAGGGCCCCGGGGCCGGGCGGCACCGACCTGACGTTCACCATGTCCGCGGGGGTCCCCACAAAGCCGCCGGTGAAACCTGCAAGCGACGGGGAGCGGGACTCGGGGGCTGCTCCGGCCCGAGGGGCTCGGCGCCGAGGGACCCCCCCGCTCACCTCCCACTGCGCCCAGCAGCACTTTCTGGTAGAAGGGGGGAGGCCCCTGCGTGCCCCGGCCCAGGCGGTCCCTCGCCGTCTCGTAGATGGCGAAGCGGGTCAAGGAGTACGTCATCTGGAAGGGAGGGCGAGCGGGCACCGGGTCATGCCAGCAGCGGCAGCCGGGCTGCTCGGCCGCTCTCCCAAGGGGCTCCGAGACGGCGGTGGCGCCGCGGGGCCCGGGGCAGTGGCGCTCACCTGCCGGCACAGCGAGGCGCTGAGCCCGTTGTAGAGCGCCAGGACGCCGTCAGCGCGGACCACGCGCAGCGCCATCCCCGTCATGCGCATCTTCACCTCCTGCTGCGTCTGCAGGTGCACCTGGGGCACGTCCAGCCGCGTCAGCGCTCGCCCTCCGTCGGCGCCGGGCACAGCGGCCACGCGCAGGGCACAGCCCTCCACAACCGCAGCGGGGGACCGGCCAGAGCTCCCAGGGCCATTCATTAGCGCTCATGCACAACGCTCCCTGCACACAGCAGCCGCACCAGCCTTCCTGCGCCTAGCGGCGGCTGGAGAGCTGCCCGACCGGCCGGCGCCAAGCCCCGGAGGAGCAGGAGTGCAGAGGCACCTGTGCAAGGTCACCCCCGTGCCGACGGCCCAGGCGGGGGCTCCCGGGCTGCACCCCCAGGTGGAGGATGGTGCCTCTTCCTCCAGAAAAAGCCCCAAACGAGCCCAGCAAGGCGGATCTGGAGGCGCCCGAGCGAGCTCCAGGGCACCTTCAGTGGGAGGGAGCACATCAGGACACGAACCCGGCCCGCGAAGCAGCAGGGCCCAGCGTGCAGCACAAGGGCCCCGCTGTCCTGCCTCCTTCCCACGGCCGGGAATCGCAGCCAGGAGCTCCGGGCCCCCTCCAGCGCCTTTCCCACCATTAAAGGCGGATGCAGGAGCCGGCTGCCCGGAGAGCCTGTGCGGATGGAGCCCTACGGAGCGGGGCCGCGTGAGCCCTTGCCTGGGCCATCCTGTGCACGTCCGCAGGCTCCACGCTGCGAGATCAAACGCGGGTCAAAGCAGATAAAATTAAAGCAAGCGCAGGGGCCACTGGCCGGGAACCAGGCCTGGCTCCTGTTACGCAGCAGGGATGGGGCTGCCGGCCGTGGGATGTGCGGCCACGTCGGGGGACACGGCCCGACCCCCCGCAGGGGGGCACGGCCCCAGCCCCTGTGCAGGGGGCAGCCAGGGCTGCAACCGTGGTGGGGAGGCCGGGAGCAGGGCCGAAGGGAAGGGAAGGGAAGGGAAGGGAAGGGAAGGGAAGGGAAGGGAAGGGAAGGGAAGGGAAGGGAAAGGACTGCCCCTCGGGGCCAAAGTGCAGCGCGGCCCTTGGCCCCGGGCCGGCCGGGCCCCCTGCGCCTCCGGCGGCGGCAGCGCCG